AGGGGTCCCTATGTCCTCCAGCAGTCTAAGCCTATAGCAGCATAACTGTAGCATTGCTGTCTCTATATTGATGTGGGGAAATCTACAGACAGGATAGATTTTAGTTATTCACTCTACAAAGCAGGAACACCAAATGCTTGGAAGATGGTGCTTTAGTTAGATAGAAGCAAAGGGAAACCTCTGGCTGGGAGAAAGCTTCTTTTCAACAGGGGAGGCGGGGACAGTCTGAGTGGAAGGACTGCAGCAGTCCTCACCCAGTCTACAACATCAAATTGCTTTGATAAAACATACCTGTATTAAAATCGCTATCTAAATAATATCTGCACAGACCCATATGTATGACCCACTTATTAGATCTTTTTCTATTTGTAAAAGAAAGTGAAATTCCTCATAATTTTCGTCCCATTTTTTCCTTCATTATGCTCTCCTTCATGTTGATCAGATAACTGGATAAAAAAAAGATTGAAGCTTGTAACATGAGAAAATGTGGAACGGTTCTAGGACTAAGAACTCCTTGCAGTTTCTTTTCTGGCCTTGCTCCTTTAATGCCAGAAGCTGCATCAGTCCGAGTCTTTAGAAAAATTGGATTCACTTTCAATTCAGGCGTACCGAAGTAGAGGAATGCAAAACAAATGACACAATCCTGACAAGACCAAACATGACATCGTTTCACGTCTAGCATCTACAAATTGAAAGTAAATGAAGGAATTTACTTTCAGTTGTCATTTTACACAACTTATTTAGACTTTTGGTTACTGATAAATAAATTGGATTTGTTATTAACACCTTCGTTTGGTATATTTTTCTTCCAGGTTTGTTCATGCTAAACCTTGTGTGCCGTGACCTGCTCCTCAGGAAAAACGTGCTTGAGCGTGTCAAGAGTGTGTTTCCCACCATCCTCTCCCAAAGGATCCCAGAGGAGATCAACGAAGTTCTTCTGTGCTTCCGAGAAGCAAAGGATGCCGACCGCATCCTTCCGTCCTTGAGCCAAGCAGCCAAGAATTTCCAGAGGACGTTGTCCTGTGGTACCGCTGACTCCAAACGAAAGCCACATATAGACATTGCAGAGATATTAAAAGACCTAAAATTAGAGTAAAGTTTTAAAGAAGCTTAAAATGCATTTGCTTAATGATAATATATCAATAATAAATAATATGGTACATTTTGTCTTTCACCTGCCTCTGGTTTCTGTTACACCCCACTGTGCACGCACCCTCAGGGGTGGACTTAGTAAATGTGGGGCCCTAGGCAACGACAGGTAGGGGGCCGTCTGAATATGGAAGACAACACATAAAACAGACCCATTCTACAGATAGAGAAATGTTAATAGAATAAACATACATTATTTGCTTACCTTTATTCCCTCTCTTCTTGTCCCTTTTCTTCTTGTTTTCCTCTCTATGTTTTGTACTCAGCTGACTTTTCATGCTGTCTCTAAAGGAATGAAAGATTTTCCTTCCTGTGTTTCCAAAAAGGCCAAAGTAAATAACCCAGTCCTTCTTTTCACTGTAGACAAGCCATGATCTGCTTATCTGTTCTCCATTTTTCATTTGGATGAAATAATAGCTGCATGAACCATGACAGCAGACAAGATAGAGGAGAGCAGGAGGCGGGGTTACCAATCTACTCGCTCTGGAGAGCAGAGTTCGCTGCTTTTAGATGTTGTCTCCAAAGTCTCCAGTAGCAGAAAAAAGTCTCTACATTTGGCGCTAGGTGCTTTTTAGAAATCAAAGTGCTAGAGGGGTCTGAAAAGTTGCTAATTATAGCGACTAAAGCGCTAAGTTGGCAACACTGCTCTTTGCATGGTTTGCTTTCAAATGGTTTGCTGCTGTCTGTTTGGACCTTTCTGAACATGTGCAGCAAATGGACTGATCCAATATGGTGGACACTGAAGCGGGGGCTGATACACACTTAATATTATCAGCGTTCTGATGGCATTTTAACAAAAGGATTTTTATCAAAAACAATGTCCACAAATAAGGAATAGCTGTATTAACCATACATGTACACTAAAGCTTTATGGGGGCCCCAGGAACTTGGGGCCCTAGGCATCTGCCTAGTATTGCCTAATGGTAAATGCGCCCCTGCTCTCCCTCACAGGCAAAGAATGCAATAGCGTTATTTACAGTGGATGAACTGTACACTCTGGCTCTAGTTGCCCTGTGGGATTTTAAATAGCTTCAACCCAGAGCTGTGATTGAGTCCAAGGTTTCTGCTAATTGGCTGCAAACTTTGTCTGTCTTCTCTGTTTTAAGGGGGGCAGGGGAGGGGTGCAGACAGACTGGTCTGTTCCTGCGCATGCGCAGAGTAGTTCACTCCGTTAGCTGTCAGTGCGACGTTTCTCCACTTTGTTTTCCAGGGAGTTTTTATTATCGGAGGAAAAAGGGGAACTAAGCAGAGCAGTTAGGAGTCTGAAGGAAGAAACGCTGTGAAGGTTTGCAGGTAGAAACATGCCTCCGGGAAACTTTCTGGAAGTTATTTTTGCTTCGAGAACCGCAGTGGAAGAGACCGACGGTAGAGTTTTTCCTTTGAGGCGCTAACGGCTGGTCCTGCCTTTAAAAGCAGCGCCAGCCTCCTTCATGTCACTTTTTATTATTTATTTAGATTTAAAATACACAAAGGGCGCGTTTTTCTAAGGGATATTAAAGTATGATAGTTGCGCTTTCGATTGGCGTGGAGTAGGGAAAACGGGACGAGAGGGGCTGGGAGGGTCGCTGCTCCCGTTGCGATGGGCAACCGTGGGATGGAGGAGCTGATTCCGGCGGTGAACCGCCTCCATGAAGCCCTGAGCTCCGCGGGGCAGAGCTGCTGCCTCCACCTGCCGCAGATCGCCGTGGTGGGAGAACAGAGCGCCGGAAAGAGCTCCGTGCTGGAGAACTTTGTGGGCAGGTGAGTCCGACCCCCCCCTCCCATCAAACCACCCCCCCACTGCACGTGAAGCTTCAGGTATGGGGGGTTAGGAGCAATATTTATGGTTATTTAACGTGTTTTAAGAGAAAAATAAGCGGGTTATTTTTTTTACTGTGTCATTCATTTATTTATAAAAATCTTACTCTGTTAAAAAAATATTTAGTACAATATTTAGCTCCAAACTTATTTTTATATTTATTAAAAAAAAATAATAATTTAACAAATTAAACTTTAGCTAGCACCAAGCTAGCTAAAGCAAAAATATGTATTTAAAAAACAAAAAAATTATTTGCAAAATAAATATTTATTTAACAAACTAAATATTTAGTTTGCAAATTAAATATCTAGTTTCAATATTTAGCTCCAAACTTATTTTTATATTTATTAAAAATATATATATATTTAACAAACTAAACTAGCACAAAGCTAGCTAAAGCAAAAATATTTATTTCAAAAACAAAAAAAATATTTGCAAAATAAATATTTATTTAACAAACTATATATTTAGATTGCAAATCAAACATTTGGTCTGTTAAATAAATATTTAGCTCCAAATTAAATATTTAGTTTGTTAAATAGATATATAATTTGGAGCTAAATATTTAGTTTGTAAATTAAACATCTAGTTTAAGTATTTAGCTCCAAGCTAAATATTTATTCTGAAAATTAGATATTTATTTTTTTAAGTAAATATTTTGCTCCAAATAAATTATTTATTTAACAAACTAAACTTTAGCTAACACCAAGCTAGCTAAATATTTAGCTTGGAGCAAAATATTGATTTCAAAAACAAAAAAAATAGGTTGCAAAATAAATATTTGTTTAACAAACTAAATATTTAGTTTGCAAATTAAATATTTCATTTTTTAAATAAATATTTAGCTCTAAACTAAACATTTCTTTAACAAACTAAGTATTTAGTTTGGAGCTAAATATTTATTTAAAAAACTAAATATTTAGTTTGGAACTAAATATTCAATTTGCAAAATACATATTTAGCTCCAAACTAAATACTTATTTAACAAAGTAAGTAACAAGTAATTAAAAAAAATAATAAATGATTGACACAGTGAAAAAATTACTTGGAAAAATATAACCCCCTTATTTTATATTAATATTGCTCCTAATTTTTGACTGCTTAACTTTACAAACAGCACACCATAACTAAATCATTTCATAGTGGGATGTCAGATTTATGGTGGGGTAATGATAATATTAAGATTTAAAAAAGTAAAAGCCATTACTGAATTAAATTTTTTATTGATGTGCAACTGCAAATTTTGATTTAAGAAAACACATTTCATCATAATAATGAGTGTTTTTGCTTTTAAGATACTATGCAGATAAACAGCTTCCTGCTAAATGTAGTGTCTTTGATGTCAAAACGCTCTCAGTGGTAATTTGATGCTTCCAATTCATATAAAAAATCTAAACTATCTGTACTCCACCTAAAAATTCATTCATTAATGGGGCTGCATTGTACATTTTCTTAATGTGGTTCATATTGTTAAAATGATTACAGCATTATACAGCATTTATTTTAACATTATTAGTCTATATCTGTTTTTTTAAGCTGGGACAGTAGGGTAATAATTAATATACTAGAATAATCTGCATTTTCTGAAAGAATACAGTGTTGATGCTGTTTTCCATAATCTTCCGCTGAAAGCTGGCATAAACAATTTAAAGTTAACAGGAGATCAGCTATATTGTAATATATTAGCAGAAAGCTTAATACCTCTTCTGAAAGACAGTAGAAGAAAAGGAAGTTGACAGAAAACCTACTGGATCTAATAAAGTAAAAACAAATGCTAGAAATATTGGTAAAGATAAACTAAAGAGAAACAGTTTCAAAAGCCAAAGTTACCTCAAAACTACTAATTGCTTAATAAAATTGATGAAATGTAATAATTGGAAGATTTTAAGAAGTTCAAGAACTAAAGAAGAATAACATGTAGGATAAGGCATTGAAACAACAAACTAAATATTTAAACAGTTGTTGAAACATAATGAATGAGCACAACTGAAATAAATACGAAAGTGAAAGCATGCTGCATCAACTTGACAAGCAGATGTTAACTTAAATAACCGGGTGGAAGACGTTGTTATTTTACAGAACAGAGAGTGGAATGATACTTTGGGGCTTGTTTTGTTTATTAAAGAAAGAAACAGAACTTTGTTCAATTAGAGAAAAAATAGCAAGAATATGTACAAATGGCAAAAGTCTATTTCAAGCAGTCACCTCTGGCTGAAAAACTAACAGGCTAAATGATACATAGGTCTTCTTGACCCAGAGGCGGATTTAAGAAATGTGGGGCCCTTGGCAAAGACAG